TAAAACTACTATATTACTTCGCTCAATTACAAAGGCAGTCGACGAATTTTATCAGAAGGAAAAAACAAACAACAAACAAGGCATTCCGATTTAAATCTGAAAAAGCATTTTGAAACACCTGTAAGAGTTTTACCGAGAAGCTAGTTCTGTACAAAAACAACAAAGTGAAAAAGAAAAAAGCGAGAAAAGAACCTGCCTCACTCGTTGCCAAGCTATCTGCCGGAAAAGCCGTCTAGTAGAAAGCAATGGCCTTCCACTCAGCGTCCTTCCAAGAACCTCTGAAAACAGCACAGTTCCAGTTTCCACAACAGGTTTCCCTAACCCTGGCGGCCCCCTACTCATTGCAACTTCATCCTTAACAATTCCCATCTTCCCTTTAACCATAAACTCCTTCGCATCCTTCTTTGTATCACACAGCAAAAACTCAATCTCTTTGTCATACAAAGGCAGCACTTCCTTTGTTAACATTGTACCCAACAAGTCTGCCCCAATATTCACATCAAGTTTATTCTCATTACCAGAAACCACAACTCCAACCACAAAATCACCAGGTTTTGGGTCATAATAGTCCACATGAATCTTCTTAGCCTCCTTATCTTCATTATCAAAATCACTTCTCTCCTCTTCAACACCTAAATCACCCTCGTCCAATGAATCATTAGACTTAAAGAACTTCAAAAAAGGCGCCAAGGCTTCATCTTTTCCGGGTTTTTTGGATTCTTTATCAACTTCTACATCTAAACCATTATTAAAAACCGCTGGAGATGGCTTATTTAACAATTCAAGCTCTTCATTCTCTTGAATTCTATCGTCCTGTACCTTTTCAGGCAGTTGGGTACTCGAAAAATCATCAAAAACATCATTTTGAGAGCAGAATGAAATGTGGGCACTTCTCCAAAGTGGGGAATTCTTGGCCGAATACAGGGCTTTTAGTGTCCCAATAGTACAAAATGAGTGAAAACATGGGGATTTTGGACATTTGTTTTGATGGACTATGCTACTATGTGTGATAACTAAATTGTTAGTGGTAAGTGGTAGTGAAGAACTGAAGATAGATAGAGACTTACAAGGTTGAAGAAGAATTTGCATCTTTGATTATCCACTTCCTTTGCACCTCATGAGCTCAGCGCTCTCTCTCTCTCTCCCCTTCAGTTATTACTGGTTTGTTTTGGTTTTATCCACTTTGCGTTGTGTTTTTATCACGTTAGCTTCTTCATGGGGCTGAAAGAAGCTGTAAGGCTAGGTTCAGGCTTGGTTCCGTGGCCCAAGTGAGTTGGGCTTCCCTGACATGCTTACTGGTTAGCCCTGAAAGCCCGAATAGTATGAGATATGGACACGTGATTTTCTACCTTTGCCTTGCTAATTTTACAGAAAGATTTTTTCAGAAATCATTTTTCTAGTAGTATCATTGAGATTATTTGAAAAATAGTATCAGGGAAAATTATTGGCAAAATTAGTATTATTTTTCTATTTGTTTACTTCTCTCAGTGATTAGTAACTTGCCTGCAGCAGTGCAACTAATGTGTCAATGGGTTTTTTCTTCTTTTAATTTTGGTAGATAAAAGGGACGTGTGAATGGGTTTGAAGAGGTCACGGTTTAGCCCAGCGACGGTTCGGCTCGAAGAAGGCCTAGTGAAATTGTTCGTGTAGGCTTGACCTTGAAAGATTTTGCTAGGCTATTCTCTATAATAATTATACTTGCAATGGGCTTATATATTTATCTAAATGGGCTTTATGCTTTTTAATTTCTAGCTTTACAGTCTTAATTTTCCTAAAGTCAAAAATAAAAATGGGGAGCCCACGTCCGCTTCACATTGGAACCCCAACTGCCGTCTGCCGAGGACAAACAAGATTTGGATTGACGAAGGTGGTAGTGTAATTTGGGTCAGTTTGATCCATCACTTGGAAACCTTTTCTCCTTTCTCTGCCATTCTGTTGGGTTGGAGCTTGCAAGGATGTTCTACTGGAAGCTGAGCTTACAAAAGTTGAAGCTTTTGGAAATTATCTTCTATCAATGGAGATAACCCCTCTAACCCTTTTTTTTTCCTTCTGTGCAAAAACATTACACCTACAGCGCACGTATGCATCTAAAGAAACTTTCATCTCATCTACTTTAAAGCCGAAGTTTAATAGACTTTCTCAAATGGTCGTAAAACGTAGAGTTGCCATCAATTAAAAGCTCCATATCCACAATTTGAATCTTGATTTTTGACGAAGTAGACAATATTTTGAATGTGTATTAATGCTAGGCCAATCCTTTGTTTGCAAATACGACCTCTGTCACTAGGAAGAGTAGAGGCTTTTAGGATCCATCAAATCACCACTTTATTATAAATGGCATCTGTGGAAATTTAAGACAAAAATGGGTATTGAAGAATTTCACCTCTCTTCCGAATCTTGAAAGTGGAGATGCTACAACCATGATAAAACATAAAGCTTAATCTCTTATTCTGTAAATGTTTTTTATTGATAAATTAATTATATATTTGATATTCGGTAGAAAATAATGTTTTTTAACACACATTTCAATCAACTCAACCACACAAGCGTGGGGATTAGAATTAGACCATTATAGTAAAGAGATTAATTGAAAATAGATATATCCCTTTACTGATAGTGGAACTTCAACCTAAAATTTTACACTAATGAGTTCTCTTTTTACCAAACGAGGCAGTCTCTCAGACCTAAAAAACATTTATTTATTTATTAAAATTGACAAGAATTCTTTATTGGCTTTTTACTTGTTTCCTGAAATTCTCATCAAGTTTTCCAATTATGTAACAGTCTTTTATTTTCTAGATCCATCCTTTTTTTCGACACGAATAAAGATTCCCACCCATCAAATTTTGATAGAAGCTTGATCTTGATAGATTTTGTTTTCTTCTAAATGACCAAATAGTCCTTCAAAATTTGTACTATATACACCACAGATGATAACTATCCTCTACGTTTGCAATATTTTCACACGTAATGCAAAACCGAAACTTGAAAATTTAACATCTCAACTTTAACAACTAAGGCTGTTACTGGGAAAAATACAACGTTTGACCATTGGGAACATGGGGAAGCTGGATTTCCAAAAACAACCTTTATAAAGCATTTCTTGGTTCATATTGCACGATACTGGAAAGAAATAATTGAACAGCACAAACACAGACCAGAGAACCATGACAACTTGTGAACTTATAATTAACGATGATGATGCCTGTCGATGTGGTATAAAATCGAAAGAAGAATCTTCTAACTTATAAACTTGTATCTGTGGTTTCTGATTTGGGTCTGCTTGTGGATTCTTATTATCTAAAACACATGCAATGTCTGAGAGCTTGGCGTTAGATTTGAATTGCGTGGCAAGCATTGGAGGCACCAAATTTGAGTATTCGATTAGTATTGGTTTTTTTAAACTACCGAACCTGGTATATATGCAATTATCAGCATAATTTTCAATCCAATTAGTACTGCTCATTGCCAAATGATATTGATTTTTGGCAGATAATTAATTATTCAACAAAATGAGATCATGCATGGAAGTAAAGGGGATGATAATGTGCTACAAGAGGACAAACCAGCATCTAAATTATTAATTCATAAAAATCTAAAAAAACTGAGACAATTTTAAGCTTTTCAACGCTATCATCTTATGATAATAGCACCAAACGTCATCTATTAAGATGCTAGCTAGTACTGTTTGGACATAAAAATATATTGATTCTCGTATTCGTGATTAAAATAAGATTCTTGACTTCTGAAACCACCAAAGAGCTTAGGAAGACTGTCTTGACTTTATTGCATCAGTTTTTTAATTAGTAGAGAAGGCATAAAAAACAGAAACTAACGGTGCAAAACAAGCAGGAGATTACGTATGCTTGCCGATACACTTTTATATGACTGCACCCATGTGCCAATGGAAACCGTGGATCAATATCAGGGAATCAATACCGAGAAACATCATCTAGCCCTTAATTTTTTTCTGGGTCAGTTCTTTTTTACATTTTTTTAGTCACTGACAGCAATCAGAATCCTGAATAAATATAAGCTCAAATTTAAGTAAACATGAAACAAGTCACCCCTTCATCTTTCCCTGCCACATCGCAGTTCTGGGGTGGATGACAGTGACGACGACAAAAACACTAGTCCTCATTCTTCGCTGTCCAAAGAACATTAGAAAGTTAGAACACTGTTTTCATTGCAGCTTACGGACTGTATTTAAATTTTTACATGCATGGATGTACCCGAATTAACAATTCTACAAACAGCATGCATGGTTGGTACTGTGTTTAGGGTTTTTCAAAACCTTCCACGTATGGAAGCAGTATCAAAACTAGTGATGGTATGTTTGTATCAAGACAGTCGACACTCCATTTGTATCCTTATAATTGTAATTTTATTCAATAATATTATCTATGTAGTTTTCACAAAAAAAAATATCAATATCTCTATCCCCTACTCTTATGCATATAGATGATGGAATCTAACAAAAAATTAACCTCTTTCCTCCTTTTCGTTTGCTTTATCTTATTTTTCTCTTTATACATGTGGTGATCATATCTAGAAAAACGCTTAAAAAATAAATTAAAAAAGGTGGGTTTACTGTTAAAATTTTCCCAACCATTTAACATTGAAACTTTTTGGAAATCGTAGTGTTGGGAAGTTCTAAACTACACGGCCAAAAAAAATGGAGTTCCCTATCCAGTGAGTACACGTGTAACCATCAACTAGGGCGAAAATGAATGATGTTGGGAAATTTAGTCAAATCAAGGATCATGATGTCTCTTTATCTCTGGACCATTGACCTTACCACTCTCTGCGGATAGACACGTACTGTTTCTCCGTTGATCATCGAATATTAATTACCTTTTGCTGAAGTTGACTGCCGATGCCTTGCCAGCCTTGGGGATAAATTGAAGGTACTCTTGCTTTGTCTTTCCATTTTTATCATCTGATTTGTATTTATAATCGACAGTAAGTGAGAGAGCATAAATCAACGAAGTGTGGCTTTGTTATTGGAGCTCCTGATGAGTACTTCGAACTTTACATGTGTGGTCACGTATGAAATTAACGAACTTAGCCTTACGATTATATACAACCGATTCCTTTAATTTGGATATAACAATAGATTAAAACTCGGGGTTTTTTTAATGTTTACAAGTAATATAATATTTTGAAATAAATTTTTTTATCAATCATGATTAAAATAGTGTAAAAAAATCATATTAAACTATAATAAAAGAGAGTTCAAAGTAAACTTTAACCCTTCCAACACTATTATTGGCGGGGATAATCAAGATTTTAGTTTTTGTACTTTATCAAATGTTTGAATAAATTATAAATAAGTCCTTTAGTTTTTATTGTTTTAGAAACTAATTATATAACCTTTCTATTTTTAAATTTTCTTGTAACTCAATTCTTTTTTAAAAAATTTAATTTAAATTTTTGTTTCTATTTTGAGAAATAGAAGAAGAAGAAAAATATAAAGGATTGATAAAAAAAAACCTTTTTTAAAATAATATAATTTTAAATTAAGTGTGATTACTGCTCATCAAAAGATTAAGTGATTAGTCTTTAAATAAAAAATAATTAATTAATTTGTTTTTTTTTAAATAGAGAGACTAATTTACAATTTACTCTAAAGGTTTTTATGCAATGATGAAGACAGATCTTAATACAATTTGATTAAATTTAATCTACAGGGGAAGGATTGTAATTAAAGAAAAATAAGAAACGGACTGAGCCTCTACTAATAGAAATTGAAGAACAAAAAAAGAAAAAGAAAAAAGATTCCAGCAAATAATAGAAATGGAAAAGAAAAAAATTCTGCGAGTTAATGTACTTCGATGGATAATTAATATTTTCATTATACGAGCCAAGGGGAAAGATGAACTCTTTCTCGTTCTAATCATGAATAATAAGGCAAATCCTAAGAAAGAAGGCTAAGCAATTATGTAAAGGAGGCGTAAGACATGCATCAAATTAAATGGTATCGGCTTTTAGAATCAAGTCCTAAAAAAATGATTTTTCATGATGAATATTAATCGTCTAATTTTTAGATGGAAGGATTGACTTTTAAGAAGATAAATTTGATTTTGATATGATTATAATTATATAGTTATATGTATGTTATATATTATACATAGATGTGTTAATGGAGCTAATTTATGCTTTTATTTATTAAAAAATTTAAAAATACTTAAAAAGTAACTAACTATATTTATTTTATGAATTTATTTTGAAAAAAGATAAATACAAAAAAAAATCTATGAAGTAAGTATTTTTAATTACTTTTAAAGTAAAATAAAAAAGCTAATTAATGACAAGTAGTTACACATTAATCAAAATATTTATCATTGCATATCCCATCCATCTACATTGAATCATGTATAATGATCAATAATCACATTAAATTTGATATGTTTTGTGTGATTTTAATAAATCAAACAATATAAAAAAATAAAAATAAAAATCATATTAATGGTAATTTGTGATTGTCAAAATCAAATGAATTTTTGAAATTACCTTCTTCTTTTTTTTTTTTTTTTTTTTTGATAAACCCATAAAGAAATTGATTCAAGCACTATAATCTACAACAAGAGCCGCCAACAAAAACAAAGGAGATCGAGCCCCAAACTCTAAGACTCGACTCGGAACCAACTCCCATAGCAAGAGTATGGCCATTTGATTCGCAGATCTTTTGACAAAGCTAATAACCAAATTAGAAATAGATTCACTAATAATCTTAAAATCATCAACTATTAAACCAAGATCGGAAGCTAAACTCTCATAACTATGAAAAAAATTTACTACCAACTAAGAATAAGACTCTAGGATTACATGGGAAATATGTATAGTCTTGATCCAACTTAAGGCTTCCTTGAGGCTAAGCCCTCTACGATGAAAAGGACCTCCACACCATCAATCTATTTGCTAAAACCCATCATTAAAAAGACCATCCAAACCAAACACCACGACCAATGCCCATCAATCTCGAAGAGCTAAAGAGAGCCACATCAACATTAACCTTCCACCAACCATCCTATGGCCTAAACTACTCACTAACACATTCTCGAAGTGGGGAAGTTAGGTCACTTCTAATACTAGGCAGATTAGCCTCTTTTCAAAGAGTAAAAACACCGGGATCTATGGATGATACTAGTAACTAGCTAAATTCTATTATTCTAAACTTGATCATTTTGATTATTCCAAAGGCCCAACACAACATGGGGGCTAGTTCACACATCCCCTTAGAGTTAAAAGAAAAAAATCAAGCTCAACCATTCCATTAAATTCTACATATCACCTCTAATATATATCCAACAACGGATTGAAACCAAACCTCCTTGACCAAAAGATAATCAACTACACTATGAATAGTAGTTTCAATACTTGTATCGTAATAAGGACACGCCATATCAATATTAACCCTACATTGGAGCAGGTGATGGCATGTAGGAAGATAACCAATACAAACCTTCATGCAAAATTTAGCGCTTTAGGTGGGACCTTCAACTACCAAAACCTACTTCACACATTCACAAAATTACTCGGTTTTACACCTTGGCTTGCGACTCGTAACTCCCATCATGTTCCTTAAACCATTGCCAACTGTCTTTAGGCCACCTCGCACTTAGAGGGACGCTCAAGATGAACTCTCGGTCTTGCTCCATAAATAGAGAGTTGATTAAGTTAAAGTCCTATCGATGCTCTTCTTGAACAATCAACTCGTGAAACCATGATATTTTCAAATTGAGAGTATACAAGGGAAGAAATAAAGAAATTATCAATACCAAGCAACCAAGGATCCTTCCACATAAGGACATCAATCCCATTCCTAATTAGCCACTTACATACTCGTTTAAAAAAGTGTTGGAGGCCATCAAACTACGCCATAGGAAACTCGGATTATGACCCACTTGTTGCTTCCATGAAAGAGTGATTAGGATAATACCTTGCTTTTAAAACCATTGCCCTTAAACAATCCTCGCTATGTCAAGAATCTATATACCTATTTTCTTAACATAGCAAGATTAAAATCATGTAAATCCCAAAATCCCGACCCATCCATTTTTTTAGGCACACACATCCTCTTCCATCTCATCCAATGAATTGTCTTTGAGTTACCCCGATTAGAATCCCATCAAAAAGAATTCATCATTTTCTTAATATCATCTCATCATCTTCTTAATATCATCACAAAGGTCTAAAGCCAACAAAAACACATTCATAGTGTAATTGGGCATAGCTTGAGCCACTCGTTTTCGATAAGACTTATTAAAGGACCATCTCACCTAAAAGCTTAAGCTTATAGGTGAGGTCTCCGAATATAATTTATATTAGTCTCTAACACACCCTCTCAAGTGAAAGCTCCAACATTTGGGTTTGAAACTTGCATAAGTTCACATTACCTTGTGCTTAATACTTGAGAAATTAGGGATAATGAGACTTAAATTCGGGACCTCTTGGTCAACCAAGCTCTAATACTATATTAAATGACCATCTCACCTAAAAACTTAAGCTTATAGGTGAGGTCCTAAAATATAATTTATATTAGTCTTTAACAAGACTTCCTTACTTGCTTAGGATAAGAACCTATCGCTCCGGGTTCACATCCGGTTCCACAATTTATCCCGAATATAAGTAAAAACGGCTTTCTTTTTTTGACCCACCGTAGAGGGAAGACTCAAATAACTACCTTGATTCTCGGACTCCTCCACTCGTAAAATTGCTCGAATTTGTCTCCGAGAGTCAACTGAAACATTCAAGCTAAATGAGATTGCAAACTTCTGAAAATTAATAGCTTGACACGATGCCTTCGATAATTCTAGAGAATATTCAGTATTGTGTGAGACTCTTTCGCGTAGCTTGAAAGAATAGATAACTATCATCTGCGAAAAAAAAAAAAAAAAAAGGGAGATGTTAGGAGCCCTTCTCGCAACACAACACCTATGCAACACACCAAAACTCTCCTGCTTTTTTATGGGAGTAGAGAGACCCTCAACACACAATATAAAAAAGGTAAAGGGATAAAAGATCCCCTTGCATAAGGCCTCTGGTAGGAACAATCGGACCCAACAAATGATGTTCATAAAAGATATGGTACCTCACAGCAATCATACAAACCATGATCAGGTTCACACATCAAGTATCAAATCCCAATTTCAGCATCATCTGTCTCAAAAAACCCTACTGCATTCTATCGTAGGTTTTGGATATACCAATTTTCAACGCTGAATACCTAACCTTCCCTAGCCTTTTCCTCTTCAAAAAATGCATAACCTCAAACGCAAAGATGTTATCGGTAGTCATTTTTTTCAGAACAAAAGCATTCTGATTTTCTGAAACTATATCCAGCAGCAAAAGCTTTAACCGATTGGCCAACATCTTCGAGAAAATCTTTTAGAGAACATTATAAAGGGCAACTGGTCTCAAATCAGCCATCCTATTAGCACCCTTCTTTTTGGGAATAAGGACCAACAAAGTATCGTTCAAACCTATAAGAAGCTCACAATCAACTACAATTTTCAGACAAGCAGCAGTTACGTCATCACCCACCACCTGCCAATGGCGTTGGAAAAAAGCAAGGATCAATCCATCCAACCCTAGGGCTTTCTCCAGTTGCATAGGAAAGACTACCTCCTTGACTTTTCCTTTGTGAAACGAACTAACAGTTGCTACTTATGATCATTAGAAACCCTACTGTTAACAAAATTAACTGCCTGGTCAAAATTACAGCTACCTGACAAGAAGATTGTTTTGAAGTAATCTACCATCAGAGAAGTAATCTACCATCAGAACCTCAAGCCCCTTCCCCCTTTCATACCAGTTACTATCATCACCCTTCAGACCACTGAAAGTATTCTTTTTGCGACGAGCAGTAGCAGCATTATGAAAGGACCAAGAGTTAGAATCACCCTCTTTTAATCAGAAGTTTTGCCCTCTGCTTTCAAAACACCTCCTGCTTCTAAGAATTTCATGAAAATTTCTTTCAGCTGCATCAGGTTCAACTCTTGAAGAGAGATCACGATGCCCTTTTAACACCACTACCTTTCGTTCAGCCAAACTCTGCTGCTGTCCAAAATTGCCAGTCACCGTACGATCCCAAACTTGCAAATCTCGCCCACAAATTTCAAACCTCTCTTGCAAACTCTTCCCTAAACCTGCTAATTTTGAAACTAATTTCACGGATCCATTGTGCTTCCTTTAAGGGGAGACGTAGTCAAACCCATCATCCATGACGCCACCGTAGCCCGAGGTGTCTTAACATGTTTTCTGTGTCTCTAAAAACTCTGAAAGTTACAAGGGAACCACCCAAGAAGGCGATAAATTAAGCCTTTGACAAACAAACTTTAATATTGTGCCTTGAGATGGACAAGTTACCTACTATCATATATGTTTAATGTTTCAGTCTCATATCCCTTCGAAAATTCAGAGTAAGTTAGCTTGGGAATTCACTTCACGAGTGGGTTTTCAGAACGTTACCTTTAGATTATCAATTCACACGATCTTCACAAAGACATCAATACTGAGGAAACCGGCATGATAAAGAAGGGAGGAAATTATACGGACTAACTTTAGTAATACAAGACAATATCATGATATTGGTGGCAAAAATGGAATTAAAAAAACCAAGAGTCTATAAATAAAAAACACGTGGCACGAAATGAAATGAGGCATGGAAAGAGATGGGGACTGTTTTTCCTTGCAGGCTGCAGTTTATAAACAGCCAAAGAGAGTCGTCAGTCTTTCACTCTTAATTCTGCAAGTACACAACAGTACACAGATAGCTCTTTCCTTGCCCGTTATAGCTAGCTAATAGCTTGTTTTTGTGGTAAAAAAGAACAGAGATAAAAGTGGGATCGGCATATTTTTTGAAGACGAGCAAATCTACATCAGACATAAGATCTCGAAGTTAAAAACTAGAGGGTGTCAGCCGATCTAACAGGTATGCAGGATCTGTTACATTCCATCATTACTTCACAAACTTTCTTGATTTGCAGCCCTTGATTTCTATTTTTTTTTTTTTAAATACATGCAAACTGCAATTTTTTTTTATTTTTATGATCTTGGTATAATTGCTTGTTTTGATGACTTCGTGGACCATATTAACTTGGGGTGAGATTAAATATACTGGATGCTCAGGATTCTGGGAATTGGTGTCAAAAGTCTTTTTTTTTTTTTTTTTTCCGTTTCATTTTCTCTCTTAAATGCTATATATTTAATAATTTTTACTTTCTTGTTTTTCTAATGAAAATATTTGCAACTTAAAAAAGAAAACGATAATGAAATATTTATGAACATGTATGTGTGTAAGCAAAAATTGAGTTATGTTAATTTTAGAGAGTTTTGAGCGAAATGTTTATTTATGATCACTAGACACGTTCAAGAAGTATCATGATTCTGTTTTGTCCCAAAATTTTCAGGAATTAGAAATTGATAATTCAATAGTAAATAAGGTGCTGGGAAACCTGATCATGCGGAAAGGCGTGCCTTGACCGGATACTCTATCCAATTTATTTTTATTTTTATTTATTATTATTTTTTTAAGAAAGCAAAATGGTACCTTGGAAAAGGCCGGATGGATATAATTCATAATTAAATTGAATTTAAATAAGTTCATTGACCAATTAATGGCCAAGAAAAAAAGAGAGAGAGAGGGAAGGAAACTATAACAAAATGTTCTGCCTCATAATTAGCTATCATTTAGAATTCAATGGTAACAAGATGACAATTTTCTACGATCTCAGTGTTGATTTTTTCTTTCCTCTCGCTTGATCTTACCCCGAATGCACTAATTAAAGTAATGTGTGGATGGGACCAGAAGTTTACATTATAGTGCAAGTAACGTGAATTATTGCAAAAATTCAAAGCATCCGATGTTGGGTTAGAGGAGTTAATCATAATTTAGTCCTATAGTTTAGAAAAACTAATTAATCAGTGGTCATGGTATCAAAAACTATATATTTAATCCTTATATCTTTAAATATGTTTATTATTTATTTAAATTTTTTTTGTCTATTTCATGTTTTTTTCCAATTTACTTTATTTAAAAATATATAAAATGGAAAAAAGAAGGAGATCCATTTAAAAAACTATTAAGTTTAGCAAAATCAATATTGATCGATGGTCTATTTAATTATTTTTAGTATTGCAGGGATTAATTGATCCCTTTTGATGAACTGTAGGGATTATCTGTTTAATTAATATCTTCATTAACAACAAACATATCAAAAATACCCACAACAATTACTGAAAATTAATTAATCGACAGATAAAAAGTGAGAATAACCTATGTTAGAGAAGATGAGGTTTAGTTGGGAGGGAGTTGTCTCAATGGCTAGAGGCGGCGGCGAACTCTCCTGTCTCTGGCAGCAATAATCCAAGGACAGAAAAGGTTTTTTAGTGAGAGAGAAATGAGTTGAGCAGAAACAGGGAAGAAGAAGGAGAAGGTTGGAATTTAGGTGCTAGTTTATTGCCGTCTGCAAACTGGTAATTTGTGGCAGCAGAATCCATTGCAGATCAGTCGCATATATGAGTTTTTCTAAGCTATTCTGGTATTATTTCAACTAAAAAAAATTTTACAAGTTTGTAGGGAAATAAAAAACAAAATGACATTTTTAATTAAAATTTTCGATGACCATCTTGTTGTAGTTATTCTTATCTTTGTTGGATTTTACAACTCAGCAATCCTTTAATTGACTGAACTTTATAATTCAACAATCTTGTAGTGTAGAATCTTTCTATTATAAAAATTATGGCAAATCATGGCGTGTCTATCCCAAAGTGATGCAACCGCTTACTTTCAGTCGCCAAAACATTCACAAATCCGTATACAGCAGTTGTAATTACCTCGGGCCTAGGCTTACGGTTTAAAGAAAGAAAAATAAATAACGTGCCAAGGAAGGGAAATGCATTCATCTAGTCATTAAGCTAAGGTTGTCCTTGTTTAAGGAAAAACAAGTTTCAAGAATTTATTTTTTTTATTTTTCAGTATTTATTTCATGTTTAGAAAAAAAGTTAATAGTGATAGAGTATTTTTAGGAAAATGTTTTCCTAGTTAAAAAAGAGAAAAACATTTTCCTTATTACGAGTTTTCCCTCTCTCGTGTTACCTACCTCTCTCTCGATATATTCTAACAATTTTTTTTCTATCTTCTTTTTATTTAAAATATATCAAATTAATTTTTAATTATTCCTTATCAATTATTATTAATTATTTAATTATTTTTTCTCTATTTCTACTAATATTTGATTTTTTATTCATAGATACATTAAATATTCTTAAAACCTATTTTTACACCTTAAAATTACTTTTATAATAAATATTTTAACAATTTATCTTCTTCTTTTTTTACTATTATCTCAAACGCTATCTAAACTATACTTAAATGATTGGTGATGATTATTACAAGATTGTAATTTTTTATAAAAATTTAAAATTCATTAATTCATTAATAAATATATTATTTTTTCAACACTATTCATTTACAACTAAATCAATAATTTATAATTTTAATCACTTGTAAAATTTTATTGATAATTGTAGTAAATAATTGGTTACAAATTAGTCCAATATTAATTTTTTGAAACCAAATGAATAATTATCTAAAAATGATAACTAATGATTTATAAAACTATTTTTAGACTAAATTATCAGTTTAATTTTTTTAAAAAATAAAAAATTATTAATTAAGTTACCAAAATAACAATGCTAAGATTACTTAGAATTTTGTTTGTACTAAATGTGAATATTGACTTGATTTTGTCCCAAGTAATTTTGATAAATTGGTTTGATAGTTAAAAAAGTATATTTTATTTTATGAATTAAAATTATAGAGTCGGTGTTTATGAAAATTTAATAAATTTTTCTAAATGTATTTTATATTGTGAAATTGTGAATATGTCATTTTGAAGTTTTCTCAAAACTTGATGTAAAAATCACATATTATTTTTATATTTTGATTTTTTATATCAAACACATATTGAATTATATTTTTCAATAGCTTTTTCATGTAATTATCAAACGATAAAAAATTATTTTTTAAAAAATTATTTTTTTTATAAAATTTATTTTTCGTCAAACAAACAGACGTTAATACCTATCTTTCACAGTCAAGTGCAAGTTAAAAAAAAAAAAAACAAAAAAGGGTGATTGGCGTGTAGAAAGCAGAAATAACGTGTTCCTTCGACAAAAAATTGCATGGTAGATCATTCGAGGGCCCTAGCTAGGTCATTTAAAAATCGCGTCATAATCAAATGAATTGATTGAGCATCCCAGATGGAAAAAGATTGTGACTGGCGTATCCCCACCCTACAGGCTATAGTTATGTTTGTCCTCGAGTAAATAACAAATATGCATGATGTAGCCGCATGGTCCAGAGTTCCAGAGGATCTCCATATGGAAAGTGGAACTCAAGATTCTGTTAATTTTGTGCATAAAATGGATGCGCCGGATGATCTCCATCAATGATAAGATTTTTCTTTTTTTAGTGCGGGAGTGGTAGTGAATGTCATGGCAGTCGGCAGATGCTACTTTTAGAAGGCCTTGGCCCTTGAGTTGTGGGTCTTAATTTTCTCACGTCCATTATGATTCTTCGTCCTTAGACGACCATCTTGGATGCCGTCTGTGCCCCGAGTAAATTATAATTTAGTCCCTTTTGTTTTTAGAAATTAATTAATTAATCATTTTTATTTTAAAAACTAATCATTTAGTCTTTATATTTTGAAATTTACTTGTAATTTAGTTTTTTTTTTTTTTTTTTGCTCTTTTTTAAAAGCTAACTTCAAAGTGCAATGTGGTTTTTTTTTTTTTTTTTTGGTTTTTTAACACCTTGTTTCATTAACAATCTTACAACAAATGGGGTAAGATAGATTCTGAACTCACGTTAGTCACGAGATTTGCCCTGCCCCGAACCTTTTGGCTTCATTCCATACAGGAAAAAAAGAAGACGAAGAAGAAGGAGGAGAAAATAGTAAAATGACCGCGGGAATTAGAGAGGATGGATAACCATTGATGAGTATGCACGCACACACTAGACTTTTTACAAGAGGCCTGTTCTTAATACAATAAAAAAGTTTCACGTAAAGTGACAACATTAAAAAGGCATTTTATTTTGCAACTTTTATGCCATTTACTGACTCTAGTCATTAGGGAATATTACCTCAATCAATTTATTAGGATCCCTCTATCAAATATATTACGCTTAATTTTTTTGCTATGACCCCACAACTCATAGGGAAACATATGTGCTCAAAGAAATCATAAGAAGATGGACATGATCAGTTAGCGTTTTCCACGAAGTTAATCGTCATTAATAGATAAACAATATTGGTTTTCATTTCATTGCTGGGTTTTCGTTTTTGGGTTGAAGATTACAAAAGAACCCGGTAAGACGTGATTGGTTACCAATACAACTTTGATTGGTCCCCAGTCCCAATTAAATGGTTAGGTTTTTCTTAGTATAGAAAAACACAAAATTCATGGCACAAACTTTGCCACGCTTGGGCACAAAGATGGTCAGTGGCATTTTGTCATCACTGGGGACCCTTCTACTGTGGGACCAATGTGGGTCAACCATGAGCCGGGGCCTACCAAACCTGATCCCTCTGTGCGTCTTTTTCAAGTTTCAACACCCTTAGTTCTGACCCACACGGTTTGCCGCCCCCAACGAACCGTACTCGATCGAGGGGTCACCCTTCCCTTTGCACCATTTATAATTTAATTCTATTGCTCTTTTTTTTTTTTTTTTATGAAGAAAAATAAAATATGTTGCTGTACAAGGAAACTAAAGCTAGAATGTTCCATCTGATCTAAAAATTTATTATTTCAGAAATCAATGGGGTGGGTTTATTTGATAAAAAGATAATGTTTTAAGCTTTATCTGATTTAAACAGCCACGCTATTAGAATGAATTATTCATTCTCAAAAAAAAAAAAAACAAATTATAATATTTCCGATCAATTCATATTCAAAGGATCAATCAATACTACTGTGATTATTAATTGCAGTTCATACTATGGTCATCTATCAAATTTTAGGGCTATTAATGATGTATTTAATCACGAGGATCACATGTCTGGTACTGTAGAGTTTAGGGCATGGCCATTTTATGCAGTTGAGATGTGGAGTTACAGTTAAAAAAAAAACAAACAGTAACTAGTAATTTCACCGTTTTTTTAACTCCCGTCAATTACATCATGTGTGTGAACTTCTAAACCAAAAGGTTTGGCATCAGCATCCCAGCCACGTGAGTTTGTAACCGTTAAGGCAGGCGCAGTTTAATTAAGTTTGTTTTTCCTTTAATTGCTCAAGTAAATAATCTCCCAATTAGGTTGGGTGAATCTGTCAGTCAATTGTTTAATTAAGAGTCAAAACCCTTTTTAATTAATCTCTCTACTGCTATTTGGAACGGAACAGGTGGCTAGTAGTTAAGTCTTAACCTGCGCGCCTTCCCTCCCTTTCCCTCCCTCCATTTTTCTTCGGCAACTTCTACTTTGATCCACCTCTCTCTCATTCTCTCTAAACTCCTTGAAAACTTGCACTTTATTGGTTTTGTTTCTAACATAAAAATCCACAGACCATGAAGCCTCAGTCGAAGCGACAACCAGAGGTAACTCTCTCTTATCCCCTCGTTTTCTTTTTCTTGATTTCCTATTTTGAATGTTTACATGGAAAACTGAGTGTGAATTTGGCTCAGATAAATAGAGCTGAAACGTGTTGTTCTTTGGGTTGTTGGTGCCTACAGCTATTTTGGCCCAGAGTCGTGATTCGTAAATTGCTAAATATCAGCACCAAAGACTCCGATTACAGCGCCGACACTGACGATGAGTACGACGATATCGCTTCTGATTCTGCTTCCGACACCGAAGGTCACATCAAAAACCCACATTCCCCAACGTGAAAAGAATTTTTGAATTTTGTTTGTTCTGGTTCAGCATTTGAAGGAATTTTGGTTGTGATTTGGTGCAGAGTTTGGTCAAGGCCAGAGAGAATCGCGATTTGGAAATAACAGAGGGGAGGATGTTCAAGGTGATCTCAACTTTCTTTGCTTTTTATTGTGTTTTTTTTTTTTTTTAGTTTTGAATTCACTACTGGAATCTTGATTTTTGACACTTTGGGTAGAAATTAGTGGGTATTTGATGGTTTTCATGATATATTCTTCAACTAGTTACAAGCTGTTCCTAGAAGAATTTGATTCTCGAATATAGTCTGAACTGTGACTTTTTATTTGCTTTAGAATTTTATTGATTTGGAATGTTGAAATATTTCCTTTTTGTAGTTTGGTGGGATTTATATTTTCTGGTTTTGGTGATTTATAGAATTCAATGTTGGTGTGTATCTCAATGGATTCCATAATGATTCATTATGTTTACTTTCTTGGACGCTTAATCGAAAATAGGTGATTATGCCTGCTGTATTTTGACTAATAGTTAAATGGAGGTAGGTACTAATGCATTTGCCATTACTTTATTTAGGTATTTGAAGAAACCTTCAAACCATGGATAGGGCATTGATGGGTTGTTGTGGTGGTCCTTTTGGTTTTCTTGCTTTTCTTTATTCCATCATCACATCAAAATGAGTCAATATATATATATATATATATATATATATATAATTTTTATTTTTTTATTTTCTGATTCTACTTAGATGCACCGGCCTTGTTTTCCAAATGCTATTAAAAAAATATGTAGAAAAATGAGGTCAAGTATTTCCCTTTTTTGGAAGATAATCAGTTATGGCTGCTTAAAACTTGAATCTGCATTGTTGAGAAATTTCATTACACTGTAGTGCTTTTTTATTTGACTTATTTCCTGGACAAATATTTTTAAACTACAGATGCTATTCCGAGGAGAAGGAGACGAAAGTCGGAAACATTTAGAACACAGTATATAAACACAAAGGAAATCAGGTCCAATACCATGCCCTTATGTATTGATAATATAAGTGTAAACTCCAGTTACACTGATGTTTGAAGATTGTTTTCTTTTTTCAATCCCATTGTGTTGATGCTTTCTTTGTTACTGAAAAAATTCTATGTCCCCTCCTGGTAACTAAGTAATTGAATTTTGACAAAATTTGTTACCTCAGAATATGCGTTGGGACATGGAATGTTGGAGGGATACTTCCACATGATAACCTAGATATTGATGACTGGATTGATACTGATGATCCCGCAGACATCTATGTGTTTGGGTAAGTGTTTCCCTGCACATCCTCCAATACAGAACTTAGTATATTCCAAGGCAATATGCTATCTAAGACCCAAAAAAGTAATCTGCTATGCAGTCAACATTAATCTTATCTAAGACCTAAACATTAATACAATTAAAAACATCAATCTTCATTGATATAATTAGAACTCACTCTTTTGCTTAGAAAGAATACGATCAATTTAAAAAGAAGTCTATATAAAACTCAAGGAAGTCAGAACTTCCAGTCAGGGTAACTGAGGCAAAATGTTGGTTTTCAAACAGCGTTATTGATAAAGGCCAAAGAAAAAAAAAACATGAGGCATGAACTTCCACTTTCTGCCTTGACAAAAACTGAAATTTCTATCCATAATTAAGTGTGCTCTAACTAAGACCTAAACATTAATCTTATATGATGCATCAGTGAAGGTGAATGATGTGGTTTCATATCCAATGGACATTACTCCAGCAATTTAATTTACTTGTTATTGCCTCCACTTGCTGTAAGTGTTGGTTTTTTTCATTTTCATTAAATGCATAATTTGTCTTCCTATCTCTGTCAATCCTGGTCTCAAACTGGTTATTGTTGTTTCTTTCTGTTATATCCAAGGGAGTTCACTCGAGAAATATGACAAGTGCTTCATTTTTACAGACTCCAGGAGATTGTACCCTTAAATGCTGGGAATATCTTTGGTGCTGAAGATAGCCGCCCAGTTCCAAAGTGGGAAAACATTATTCGCGGGACTCTGAACAAAATTCGACCAGCAAGGACTAAGGTTAAATGTTACAGTGACCCTCCATCTCCATCAAAATTTATGCAATCTGAGGATGTGCCCACTATAGAAGAGGAGATATTACTTGAAAGTGATAGTGATATTGGTGAAGAAATTCATCCCTTGGATGAAGAATTCAATGGTTTTGATGAACTCAATGATCAATCAATCACAGGTGACATGAACTCAAATTCTGGAGTTCCAGATGGTACTGGTAGCGACAAATTAGGCATGCCAGTAGAGCAGGATTTACAGAAGCAATTTTCTCCTCCACAAAAATTAGGTAGATTAAATTGCTTGCGGACAGAAGGTTCTGCAGGAGAAGTGGAAGCATTGGCAGCTCCTAAAAAACTAACAAGAATTATTAGTGGTTCTGAAAGTATTTGCTTGAGCTGGCCAGAGCCCCCTTAAACTTGCTATCTCAGAATGTTTTGCGGAGACCAAATTCCTTCAAATCAGTTAAATCATTTAAAGAAACCAAGTCTTTTGGTGGAATTAGTTCTTTTAAGTCTCTGTCAAACGAAATACAATCAGGGTTGACTTTGTTCGCTGAGCTTGACTTTGAAGCTCTCATTAAACGGAAAAGAAGACCATCATATGTAAGGATAGTGAGCAAGCAGATGGTTGGAATTTTTCTCACTATTTGGGTTCGTAAGAGCATGCGTAAGCATATCCAAAACTTAAAAGTGTCCACTGTTGGTGTCGGTGTTATGGGCTTTATTGGTAACAAGGTCTGTTTCCTAACCTAATTTTACTTGCATTTTGATCATATCTTTTCCAATGCGACCAGTGTGTTGCTTATGATACCATACATTTTGATAAGTGATAATTCCTGTCGTATTTAGATTAAAATTTGCTCTCATGGTTGAGCATGTACAGCTTAATAGAATGCAAAAGCTTTTCATGCTCTCAGAAACATTTTACCGTCTTAAAATTGTTAGGAGATTGGAAATCTCATTTTAGAGATAACTTTATCAGATAATGAAATGTGAAATCTTGTTTCAAGAAAGCCAAATGCTTGATTCTTGCCTCTCATGTCTTCTAATTTATATATGCCTAGGAATTGGTGAAAATATTTTCGTCATTTTCATTTTGAACTGCAAATATGTATTGCATCAAATCCTTTTTTATTAAAGGTAATCCTTCACATGGTATGAAAGTTCTTCAATATTTCAGGGATCAGTATCAGTCAGCATGTCTATATATCAGACATTTTTCTGTTTTGTATGCACGCACCTCACATCAGGTGAAAGGGATGCAGATGAACTCAAAAGAAATGCTGATGTTCGCGAAATACATAGAAGAACTCAGTTTCGTCCCTTTCCTAGTGTTGGACTTCCTAAAAGCATCTATGATCACGAGTGAGTATATGGCATCTAAATAAAAATGCAACACGTCTCATTTGGCCTCACATTTGACATCCTTCATACTTTTGAAATTGTTCTTTTCAGCCTTTGGGAAGCTTCTTGCTGCCAGTTGTTTTGCACATTTTTCTCTTTAATAGAGGACTGTATACCGTAATACTAACCTTTATTACTTCTGCAGAAGGATTTTCTGGTTGGGTGATTTAAATTACCGCATCAACTTGCCCTACGACAAAACGCGTGACCTCATCTCCAGAAAGGAGTGGTCCAAGTTAGTGGAGAGGGACCAGGTACCTAAGGGATTGTTAATTTTTTTTTTAAGCAAATTAGTTGTAAGACATTCAAGCATTTTCCCTTGTGAGTAATTTTGTACGTGTATGTGTGCACATACATGTTCACACCTGCTAAGGTGCATTGTCTGAACTTTGAATTTGATTTCAATAGCATTGTTATGTTAGCACAAATTATATGTTATCATTTGAATACTAGGGGGCTGCTTATTTTGTTTGTTTCTATAAGACTCAAAGTTAACTTAGTTGCTAGGACGTCAACTAGCTGTAAATTTTCATTGACATTTTACCATGACAGCTTATACAACAACTAAGAAAAGGTCGTGCATTCGATGGATGGTCAGAGGGTCCATTGAATTTTGCGCCAACATATAAATATGAGATGAATTCAGAGAAATACTATGGAGAAGATCCAAAGGCTGGAAGGCGTATTCCTGCATGGTATGCTTCTTCAGAATTCGATTAGTATAATATCTTTTCCACTTAAATAGTTCATGTTTATTAATTCATCATCTGCAACTGTATATTTTATTGTTTTATTGTGTTGTTTAGGATTTATATATTTCGTTGACATGAGCCCTAAGCATGAGTCTGTATTTACTGTTACTGAGTCTAGAGGGGTTTTTTCCCTCCATTTGTTTGTTAGTTGCATTCAGTATCCAGGATTGTCATTGGTAACGTGGTTTTTCTTGCTATCTGGCTGTTCACTTTATCTTTTAGAATTGATGCTTTTCATGCTTACACTTGTGTCTGGGCCATGTTGTGGTATCATATTAGAATTGTTCTCTTTTTACATCATTCATTTTATTTTTACTTTCTGAGGCTAAGGTTTGTTTGATATCCACTTAAAATTCAAAAATTTTCATTCACTAGTATTTTTCTTAATTCCTGCTAGGTTACCATATCCCTAATAGCTTTATGAAAACATACCAACGAATACACAAGCATTCCAAATTGGTGACACTGCAGTGCCCAACTAGTGGCATTTGGTGGCTGTCCCAAAATCTGTCTTTTGCCAATCATTCTGGTAAAGATGCTGGAAGAAGACCATGTAAATTTTAGGAATGACTATCATATCAAGAAAAGTTTGTTGTGAATTACTTAACCTTGGATTAAAAAAAAGTACCATTAGCCTTTCCCTGCATCCCCCCTGTACATTCATCTCCTCTTTCATCCTCTACTTTTCTACAACTAATGTGCTAGCCATCACAGCCACCATTATTCTGAACCCCCCAGAGATTATTGAACATGGTAGATTTTAGAATATTGTTTAAGTAAATTTTTACACTGTTCCCATAAAAGCATTTTTATACTATTCCAGTAAAAGCTTCAACTCTCAACTTTTTGCTTAATAGCATGCATACCTTATGGTGTGATTAGCAGTTTCTTCTATGAATTATACACCAACTTGCACTAATCTTTCAGGTGTGATCGCATACTTTCATATGGAAAGGCCATGAGGCTACTGAATTACAGGAGGACAGAGCTAAAACTTTCTGATCATCGACCTGTGACTGCCACATATATGGCTGAGGTTGAGGTGTTTTCTCCTAGGAAGCTACAGAGGGCGCTCACATTCACAGATGCAGAGATTCAAAACGAGGAAGTTGTGGCAGACTTGGCCATTGATGTTGGGATGGGCCAGTTGAGATTGGAGCAGGTGAGCACTGAGCTTTGTATGTAAATTGCATAAATGTTAATGGGTTGATTCTATGTTGGGTCTCAAAGGGTGCAATATATAGCATTTCTAAAAGTCAAGTATACAGGGAAAGGAATCTCGAGCTGTTAAACCTTGCTCTTGCACGTGAAAAAACCTTAGGCTGTTTTCTTGGTCATCATAATGCCACTGAATTATAGTCCTTATGCTGCTGGAAGGCATTCTATGAACTCATTTCACAGCAGTGCTATTTGTCTCTTAGCAATTTTGGTGTGTGATTGAAGTTGTCACGCTCTGAAAACTATCATTTGTTCATGATTTAGATTGAAGTATAAATTATCTCTTACAATTTCTAATAGAAGTTAATGTTGGTGCGAATTCAATTATCATTCCATATCTTTCATTATCTAGGACTCAGTGTTTAGCAGGCTAGAGCAGCAAGCATTTTAGATGACACAAGTCACTGGGGCAGGTTTTGGCATAACTATTGCGATTTAGATGACTTTGATGCTGGATTGTGGCGCCTAAAAAACCTGAATGATGCATAAATGGTCCCACTTTAGTGAGCATGACTTTTATTTGGTTTCCTATTGTGAACTCGAATCAGTATCAGTCTTATACTTTAAACCTCAGCTGGGTTTCACTGGCCGTGGGTAAGATTGTGATTAATTAACCCATCAACTACTTGCTTGAATTTTGTTCTCACTTCTCACATAGAAATAGAAATAGAAATAGATGTATCAGGATTTTAAGATCTAGTATCTAGGGTACACGCCGAGTGTTTCTCTTACTCGGATTTAGATATCGCATTTAGTTATGATTAGCCTTAAACTTGGTATTTAGTCTATGTAAAAAAATATATTAGGCCTCTCTTTGTGTGCCCACCACACGACCACATGCTCCCGACTTTCAAAATGCTGGAGAAAGCTTGATTGAAGAATGCTCTCTTCTGATCCTTTATGATCCCTCATATCTTGAAATATTATATGTTCAATCATTGGCCAGCCAATACAGAATCCTGGAATTCTGCCTTGGGCTTTTTGCTTGAAATGGTTGCAACGGGTTCTCACCGTAAAACAAAACTGATACCCTTGTGGAAGCAATTTGAATATTTACCTACCCAATATCTTTTACCATCAAAAGAAGAAAAAAGAAGCATAAAAACAAGATGGAAGAGTTGCGTTTTGTAGATTATTTGAGTGCCACCATCTATAGGCCCTTGAGTGGCCATGAGTATGTTGAATGGTTTCTTATGTTCTGCTATTTGAGTTTATTTTTTACTATATGTATCATTTTGACCACAATTTTGCAGGAAATTTCTTGTCGGGAGCGTTAAGGGGACTACCCTGTTGTAAAGGCTGAGAGTGAGATCCTGACGACTATGCTATTACTACTCTTTCCTTAGATCCATTCATCGATTTTGTTATTTTTCTAATGAGATTTTCGATTGAACTTCTTGCATTAACGTGTTCACAGTAGGGTTTTTTTTATATGTATATATACTTTAGAGAGAAAATCATAGTAGGAAGCTTTAATAGTTAGTTCGATAGCTATATTAGTTAGAATGCATGGTGGTTTATACATGTACAGTGATGTATGTTACGTGTATCAGAGATCAATTCATTGGGTTCATAAATGTCTTTGATGTTGTAAAAAAAGAAAAATAGTTGCACGTTTTTGTGAGCTGCTGCTGCTATGTATATGCGTGTTTACCACCTTCTTTAAACTGAAGAATGAATAGTGTATTCTGGTTGTGGTTTTGTTGCTCTGTCAGTTTGTAGAAGGATTTCTTCATACCAAGCAATAGCAAGTTGCCTGATTACCCTGCGCATTACTTTGTTCTCTGTGTTTTGTTATTAATTGTCTCACAAGTTCAGTGTTCTTCTGTTCTGCTGAAGCTTTAAGGTGGAACACGATTTTAGTTATTGGCATCAAAACATCAGCAAAATTGTGTAGAAGGATCTCAAATGTGGCATCATGCATCATTTTTTCATTGATTTTAATTACCTATCTTGTTCTTTTGTCGTAACAATATTAGGATCCTTGTGAATTTCTTCGCCTTCGGCTCTCTAATATGAACTTTAAAGCTCTGCATGCCACAGTGGTGAATGTTGATAGTCAAGGAAGAACCACCAACCTTCTGTTAGATTGCCGAGCTTCATACAAATAGACATGACAAAGAAGCATCTGAAAGCTATATTGTATTATGGGTAAGATTAAAACTTGGCTTTCGAACGGAAGCACACAAGATCAGTCTGAAAGAAGTTGGGAAATGTTGGCCGCGAATGTTTTATTTTATTATGGACAAAATATATGGAATTTCTCGAACATTGGAAGAGTGTAATTCAGCAGGCTTCACGCACATGCAGCGCACATCAAGATCCCCTCAATTGAAACGTTTATTTTGGAATTGTGCAATGCCTCCTTGCAAATAAATTGCCATTAAAAAAAAGTAGCTGGGGGAAACTGAAAACTAACAGGTTCTTATCATGAGCATCGTACCATAGAGGAGTTAGATGACTAAACAATTGTTTTTCGTTGGTCATAAAAGTTGACCATATCTCCAATTAATAGAATTGAATTGCCTTGTGGAAGACAACAAAGTTGCGATCGGATTACCCGCTACGTGGCGCAATTTTAGACAAGAGTATGAATTTTCATTATTTTTCCAATTTGTATTCTATCTTTTATATTCTTTCAACCTAGTATCTTAACTCTTGATTGTGATTAATCATGTACTAAATTGAATTTACATTAAAGGTAAGATGATTGTTCATTTAGTTTGTTCTCATAGTTATCGTTTAACACATATCATATGCTTTGAAGTAATATTTGCTCTCACTTGTTATTTTTTTTATCAATGAAAGCTTTTATTTATAAAAAAATGGAAAATATCAAAAATTGAAATACTTCATTGAAAAGAGAAAAAAAAAACAACTAAGTTAGGAAGGATGCTTGACAGCTCCAAAAATAAAAGCCGAGATACTCAATGGGAAAAAAATAGAAATTTAAATACTGGTTTCAAAACATTAAGAAAATTAAGGTACTAACAAATGTGTTTTGGGAAAATAAAAAAACAGTACATTCGACTCCGTAATTTGAAGTTTGAACACTGCAAAATTGAAAAAACCAGCATATGGTAATTGCAACACTGCATTTCAACATTCACGTTCATTCTGTTAGAGCACTCTCGATGTTCCTTCTCAAGGTACCTTCAATCCCCCTCTCTTTTTTCCTTTTGCCCTTTCTTCCGGGTTTTTGATAATTGAAGTGGAATTTTTGTGTTTGTCCTCTCATAGTATACATGGAGAGCCACTGCATTTGGTGTTTATGGGTACCTCAATTTCACCAAATCTGCTTTCATGTAAGTTAACTTCCATCTTTTTGTTCTCTCTTTTTTCTTCTTGGGTTCTGTTTTATCTCTGGTGTGGGACCTGTTTTCTTTTCGTACTTGAATAACGTGAAATTCCTGAGTTTATTTTCAGGGAACGCTCCAAGAAATTCAATCCGGAAGATATGCAGGCGAGAATTGATGGGAAGAACTGTTTGGTAACAGGGGCTAATTCTGGCATTGGTTATGCAACCGCCGAGGGTCTTGCCTCACGGTGATCATTTATTTCTTTGCAACTTCATTTATAAATAGTGTTTTCTTTTCTTCTTGAATTTAAAATCTTTAAAAACATTATTGAAATTAAATGTTTATTATTGCTGTATGTTTTGTCAATGATGTCGTTTCAGTGGAGCAACGGTTTATATGGTATGTCGTAGCAAGGAGAGAGGGGAAGCTGCTCTTTCTCAAATTCAGTCCACAACAGGAAGCAAAAATGTCCATTTGGAGGTATTATGCTGACCTTTGATGCTCTTCTCTTGTTGATACCTAAGTTCCTCCACGGCTGTGATTTATTCCTTTGTAACTGTTAGTTAATCTCTTTATGCTCACTTCTATTTAAAGCTTTCGGTGAATTAAAAGTGCGAAGTGTATTGTATTTATGGTTGTTAACATGGTGAACGGATTACAATTTCTATGCACTTTGTTCTGATGGTAAAATGACTAGCTAATTTTAACTTTTGCAGGTTTGTGATCTTTCATCTGTCAGTGAGATCAAGTCTTTTGTATCCAGGTTTTCTACAAAGAATGCGCCAGTTCATGTTTTGGTAAAATTACCCTTTTGTTGATACGATCCCTACAAAAGAGTGTATTATATTTGTATTGCCATGGTGTAAAATGTGTACTGCTAGCTGGCTGGCTCTTCGTATATGATTTATGATTATGGAACTTTTTTTTTTTTTTTTTTTTTACCACACACACCCAAGGCTTCTAGCAAAACTAGTCTACTAGGATTTGAACTCGTGACCTCATGTTGCTAGAGACCACTAGTACTGGGCTACAAGTTCTTTGGTTTATGATTAAGGAACTTACTTCTTACATTCATGTTTCCGAAACTAATTTTTGCAGATCCATTGAAGAAAGTTATGGGGTTCATTTATATGATTCTGGTCATGTGACAATCCTTATGAAGTTTAGTTTGAAATTATTAGACTAATATTCTTGCAGCTTCCTATGAGTTGATGGAAGTCTAATGTGGATATACTTTGCTGCTTTTAGGTTAACAATGCTGGTTTGCTTGAGAATAAACAAGTCACTACATCTGAAGGGTGAACTGTCACTTGATGATTTACATAAAAGCCAAATTTTGATTAATACATTGCAGTCACATTGTTTCCAGTATAGAAAATTTGATTCACTGCTTTAATTCTCTTGTACTGCAGATTTGAATTGAATTTTTCTGTGAACGTGCTGGGCACTTATGCCATGACTGAATTAATGTTGCCTTTGTTGGAGAATGCTGCACCTGATGCTAGAGTCATCACAGTTTCCTCTGGTGGAATGTACACAGCTCCGTTGACCACAGATCTACAGGTACTTCTGTTGTGAAATTCTTTACTGACATTGTTACAGATGGATACTTATGGAACTCACAATTAATTTGTCTCAATGCAGTTCAGCAAAGGAAAATTTGATGGTGTTGAACAGTATGCTCGAAACAAGCGAGTTCAGGTTTGTAACTTTTGTATGCTAGAGCTCCGAAGATTCTCTCCAGTCGTAAATTGCTTGGATGTTGTGATTTTGTGAATATCAACTTGCATTTGCCACACCCACCCCCACCCCCCACCCCCTCTTCAGTTGAGTTGGTTTCGTTAAAAGAAAGTTTCAGATTTATATTTTTTAGCTCCAATTCTTGTTTTGTGCTCTCCTGAGTCCTGCACTCTTGATGTGCATATTCTCTTCTTTGGTAGCTTTTTGAATTTTTTTAAAATGGTTTCCTAGTTTAGGGTTAGAATTGACATCGCCCTGGCCATTGTGATGATCTCTCCAGTATTTTGCTATCAACCCAGCGTGCAAAAATGCATGAAAGTTGGTGATGCATTAATTTAATTGAGTTGGGTTGACTTAGTAACGTGTAATGGAAATCCATATATACCAGATGGTGGTGGGGATAGAGAAGTTTCTACTTCTATTAAATTCATGTTATCCCTTCACTTTTGTACTTTCAACGCTCCTAGCATAACTAATATGTTAGGATTTGAACTTCTGACCTCTTGTTGCAAGAGATGGCTACCGCTGGGCTATAAGTTCTTTTGTTCTTCTGTTTCATTTAATGCATGGTTTTAAATTGGTTCGTGCCTTCTTTCTGCCCAATGTTTCAGAAGAAATGTAGGCTGCATCGGATAAGGGTGTGCATGGAAACGTTTTATATACCGCTCTGAAAATTGAATGATGATTTTTTTCAAGTATTTCAAGATAATTGTCAGTTTTTGTCAGGTGGCACTAACTGAGAAATGGGCTGAAATGTACAAGGACAAAGGGATCTCGTTCTATTCAATGCACCCAGGTTGGGCTGAGACACCAGGAGTTGCTAAGTCTTTACCTGATTTCAACAAATCGTAAGAAACTCCTGTTTACCATGACTACAATAGCTTCAATTTATCCACTTACCTGCAGATTTATTTTTTCTTCGAATTGTATGCATTCTAGATTCTCAGGAAAGCTAAGAACAAGCGAGGAAGGTGCAGACACTGTTATTTGGTTGGCTTTACAACCCAAAGAAAAGCTGGTTTCAGGTGCTTTTTATTTTGATAGAGCTGAAGCTCCCAAGCATCTGATGTTTTCTGCTACCGGAGGCTCACATTCATTGATCAACAACGTTGTTGAGGATCTTCGTTCCATGTCCAGACTTTCTTCTTGAATTAAACATACCTTAGTTGGACAGTTTAATGCTTACAATGAGCTTCTGCTTTTAATTACGTTCATATATAAATTTGAAAGTGAAGATAGCTTCAGTTGGAGTGGTAGACTGGTAGTTATAGTAAAAATTCTCCTCGTATATTCACAGCTTATTGTTGTGATGGTTCCATCATACCATGTCTTTGTGAATTTTCTGTCTTTATCGGTACAAAATGTTACATATTTGCGTCTTTTTCAAGTAGATGGTGACAAAATCTTAATGCTATAGAATTACACTTTGTTTCCCAAATAACATATTGTCAAAAGCATATACCATCACACAAGTGCAGAAGCTGTGAATCAGACTGCCCTGTGCAAACGGCCCAGTACTGCATTCCTACATAGATTTGCCCTTAGGATTACACTTATCATTTACCGTACACAGCAGATCCAGTTGCATGGTTATCAGAGGCATTATCAGAGGATCCCAAGAGCTTTTGCTTTCTCAACCTATACTGCTGAAACCTCTGCCTAGCATACTCCGTGTAGTCGAACTCTATTTTGTTTACGTAGCCCTGCAACCAGTAGAAATACATTCCGTGAAAAACTCTCACGCATGCTTGTGAACAACAAGGATAAAGCGAGAAGCTGAATACTTACCGAGATTATTCCCCACAATCCCCAAAAGAGATGACTTGCCAGAGTGTACTTTTCCACTTCTTGAAGTAGCAACTCCACTTCATCTTCGCTAGGTTTTTTCCCTGTATGAATGATGGGGATTTTTCATGTCCAAGAAAATGAGATTCTCATATAATTTGCACCACCACAAAACAAACAGACAGCAGCATTGTTCTTTCCCCCTAAAATTCAATAATTCACTAATATTTCATAAAAAGAGACATTAAAGTACCAAAGTCATTGTGCTCCATTTTTCAACATATTTAGTTACAAGTCCAAAGCCACACGGTTCATGCCAACATGTTTTCTTTTTCTTTTTTCTTTTTTTAAACTTTCATGTTCAACAATATATAGAACAATTATAAACTTCACAGTTAAAACTTCTTGTCTCAAAAAATTCAGCTTACATGAATAGTATATTTATAAACTAACCTGCAGAACTTAGATATGCATGAACAAATCTGCGCCGCTCCTCCAGTCCTGTTTGCAGATGAAATTAAGAAAAGCAAACTAACTACGTCGGAGGATAAATTATAATCTAGATTACAAATATACTAAAATGGACAACAGGTAAATTACGGAGACAACAGAATTGAAGGATAAAAGGTATATGGCAAGTTGCATACCTGGGTATTTGTTATGGTCCAAAATATGTGGCGTTTCAGAATGATAATTTGCTAGCATTTCACAGAAGTGATTTGCAAGGTCATATGCAACAGGATTGAAACTTGCATACTCGTAATCCTATAAAAGAATGAGCAATTTATAACAAAAGAAATACTCTGTAAACAACAAAATCCCAAACAATTTGTCCTACAATTGCATTTCATTAATCATGATACTGAGCAGAGAATTATAACTGACAAACAAGACTTGCACCAAATAGCTTGGCCAAAATGCGTCAAGGCATTGGCAGAATGCAAGTGTGAAAAGGGAGGAACAGAGCACTTCCCTGAAACATCCATAGAAGTCTGGCAACTGGAAATCCTAAATAACTATAAGGTACATTTTTTGTTAAGGGATTGGATGACTACTACTTTAAAGTTACTAGAAAAGCATCGACAACAGTAAGTTGACATAGAAGAATTCATTCGTGCACATAGAAAACAGCCTGTAAAAATCATCATGTATCATTTTAATGGAAGAGTGCTACTACCCAAGGAAAAGGCAGACCTGTCCACTCATTTATTTATTAATTTATCTTTTCCTTTTTATATGATATGTACAGTTGTTAACTTCTGCTGCAATTAGTTAACAGTAGAATTCATCATCGCCAAGAAAACCTCATTTGAAATGGCTTCCGAAAGGAATTTCAAACTAAACCGGATCCTACTAGAAATTGGGATATTGTTCCAGTGAGCTCCAAAAGCAATGATATTGTATAAAGTCACACAATATAGTTCACAAAACAAGGACACTTACAATTAAGGTGATCGATCTTGTCTCTTCGTCAAGCATTATGTTACCATACTGCAGGTCATTATGACAAAACCCAATATCTAGATGGTCACATGACAGTTCCTTCTCTAGCATATCGATCTCATCTTCTAGATTATCCAAACGAAATTCTTTTGCATCTTTGGCAGAGCACATGGTTTTGGCCTCAACCAGCCAGTCCCTTGGGAATTTCAGAAGAAAAGTATTAGATATTTTCAATGGTAAAAGAAAAACTTAAAAATTCATTAATATGTTAATACCTCATTCTATTCCAGAGGAGTACAGCCCTAGGACCAGGCATCTCAAGGTCGTGGAACTCTCTCATCTTTGCAGCCACCAGAGCAGATATTTCATGATCACGAAGATCAGCAGCTGATAGTGTCTGGACATCCAACCAAGAAAAAGAGGAAAATAAACAGAAGATAAGTTTATGCATAACAAGCACTAATTCTGCCTACCTCAGTGCCGGTTTCCCAATAACTCTTGATTGGACTTGACTATTAGTCCATTATGAAGACAATTTAGAAACTCTGGTAGCTAAAATCTGATCTAAGAAGGTCAATAAAAGATTCCTAGCCATGTTTAAATCTAAAACACTAACTGAATCACAACTAGGCTGAAAAATGTCTAACAATTGAGAAGCTAATTTAAGATAATTAATGGAATTTGGGCCAAAGATAAGCTTTTCACAATTCAGTACGTAAAATCAATGATTCTATTTGCTTGTCAATTGAGTGGCTCTGTTTTTATTAATCTCAAGAACACATAATCAAGCAACAATAAATACTGCTGCAGCATTATCTAATTGATTCTGATCCCATACTGCAAATATAAAACGTTTGCTGCAAAAAGTGCGAGTAAAGAAGGGAAAATCCCCAAATTCATGCAAGTTGAAAAATCTATGCATCAACGGACTGTACATAAGAGCCTGGTTTTAACCTCTAATCCAATTGGTTTACCTAAATGATTCACTTTGAGAAAGAAGGTCAATCAATATTCCACAGCCCTGGGCTCTTTCACTCAATTTATGTCCCTTGGTTTAGTTCAAAGGGCACAACTAGAACCTTGACATGATGGAAGCAGAAATATACTTCAACAGACTTCTAACTTCATACATATCTAACAAAAAGAACATGTATAATTATGAAGGCAACAATTCATATCTTTCAACAGGTAATAAAGTAGTAGATACAACTTCAAAATCACCATTAACTTAAAAAGAAGAAGTTCAAACTTCACTTACTCTGGCATGAATAAACTCTTCAACTCTTCCATCAGCAAACCGGCCAAGAAGCCTAGGACCTTGTCCATGCTTTGACATGCACTCAAAAGTCTTAATCTCGTCATCCCTGTCGAAAAAAGCTTCAACACCTTCGCCATAAATCCTAACCAATACTTTTCGATTAAGATTACCACACTTCGTAGGCCAGTTTATCTGGAAAACCTCATTGGTCATAGCCCCCTTCAAAGGTACCACCTCCAATGCTTGCATGTCATCTACCACATCTCCCCATTCAGATCCTACTGATCGAAGGACTTTCTTTAGCTCATCTGGGAATTTTCCCTCCATAAATCCGATTGCTTTCATCACCATCTTTGTAACAAAAAGCTTGCTGCGGCAAAGTTTTACCTGCAAGAAAGAATGACAATTGGAATCAACTCAAGTACTCTTTCCAACTTATAGACAATCGCATTCCAAAACGAACCAATTAAAAAAAAAACAAGAATCAAAACAAAACTTCAAGAAACACAAAAGCCCAAACAAATCACAACAAAAAGTGAAAGTAAAGTAGAAAAACACACCCCAAGAAACAGAGATAAGGGCCAAGAAAGTAGCAAGAAATGAATGCAATCCCAAGATCCTTGAAACTAAAAATTTATAACACAAAAAAGAGATAGACCCACCATTTAAGTATTGGATTACTATATTATATTAGAAACAAAGAAAATGTGATTATAGTTACTATGCTGCGACCTTTTCTTCTTTGCTAATAGTAAGAAAAGAACGTCCCGCGTAGAAGCTGATGGGATGGCGTGTGAGATTCTGTGAGAAAGTCACACACGGAGGCTCGGACCACTTTAACAAGCGAACCATGATCTGACACGTGTATAGCAGAAGTGAATCTTGTTGCAGATTTTTACAGCAAAACGAAGACTTTATGTGATGGTGAGGCACGGCACAAAACCTTCCAAGTGAGTCCGAAAACGATCCCCAAGGTCAAAGTATTCATCCAACGAAAAGGTGATGCGTGACGGTTCGTTTTGGTTTTCAATTTGACCATTCGAGATTATTTAAAGAGTAGTTTTTGCGGAATTTTCTGCATAGAAAATGTCAGTGGTTGGATGAGAGGATGCATAAGTTCAACTTTCATGTTGTCGGAAAAAATTCTGTCTGATTGACTTTTAAAATGAGTAAAATTAACCATTGAGGATAAGAATTATGACGTCAACGTTTTAGTGTTCTGGAGCAAAAGAGGGAGGAAATAAAAGAGTTTTTTCTCCAATCAATATATTTTTAAATCTTTATGCCTTATATAGAGTATTTTTAAACTTAATTCTTAAACAAAATATTTTTTTGCTAAGTTATAATTTTTTTTATCCACGTCATTTTTTCTTAATTGCTGAAAAAAAGAAAAAGAAAAACCCACACAAATCCTAATTAAATCCTGATGGGATCCACATGATGTGTATCTAGATCTCCTCTCGACCGTGAGATCACCCTATATTTGATTGCTGCAAGTAGATGAAGCAATAATTAAGTTTAACAAGCATGCTCCTTCAGTTGCTAAGCAAGTTGTGAGTCAAGCACGCTTTTTGATCGAAATCGCGTCAGAAAAGGCGAAAGTGCTTGCAAATGAATTTCACGCTTTTTGATCATGATGTTCAAAATCACAGCTGATTCGATATGCCTGGTGGAGACTCAAAGAAAGTGTACTACTACTACTACTACTACTAGTGCAATGAAAATGAATGGATGGACTTGAATTTATACTTAACCACGAACCTAAGATTCTCCAATATTTGAAAGATAACAAAGCAGGTCAAGGAATTGAATATCGAGAAAGAAAAGTGGTGTTGAAGAGCAATTACAAAACAAAGGAATACTAAATGGAAAAGAAGAGATGAACAAATTAATATAAATGCAGAAGCAACAGGCAGCAGAGGAGAGGATGTAAGTTGGTTCAGTTTATGTGAATCAGAAAGAGAAAGTAGTACTCCATAGACTGGGTCATTATCATTCATATTATCAGTGAGTAGCTGCAAATGAAAGCAGTGAAAAGAAAGCAGCTAAGCAGGGGATGAGATGGGATCATAGTAGTACATATTCTACTCATTAGTGCAGAGAAAATGACGGAGAAGTGGATCAAAATAGAAAAAAGTAATCACTAAATGAGAAAAATCCACAACTACACGTGGTTAGTAGTACGTATTCTTATTATATATAATATAAAAAATAAAATTAAGTGGTTATTATTTTCCTCTTCACCATCCATCTATCGCAATCAATTATCATCCAACTACAGAGTTGTAATCAAGTGCTTAGAACAGATTCTGCAAAAGCATAGGAGCTCTTCCCCTGGTTATATGCAGGGGTGCTTGGAACAAAATCTGCAAATGCATAAGAGTTGTTCCCCTAGTTATGAGTTGGGGTGCTCGGAACAGAATCAAACATAAATGGGCTCTTCCCTGGGAACTGTTTATCTCCATGCGACGACCCCATTTTTATTGGATTTAAACCAAATTCACCAATGCCAAAATCCATGTCATGTAAGAACAATATTAGATCAATCCATTTAGATTTTTTTGCATGAAAGAACAAGGCAACAAAGAAGAAAAGGTACAGAAAGAAAGAGATTAAAATGTTCCCATGCCAAACCTACCGCAAACACTCACTTCTCCAATCAAAATGGTAGATTTCAATTTCTGAGTTTAAAATGATTTAATTATTTGTGAAATAATATTTTAGTTTTAATAAGAGTTTTATTAGTATAGTAAGATACAAAAAAATTACTGAGATGGAGCTTACATGACATATAGCATCTTAGATTAAGAAATAAGTTTAAACAACCCTATTTTAATAATATAGATTTAAAACAATCCAAAAAAAAAAAAAACTCAGAAATAAAATAAGGGAAAACAAAGTGAAGTGAAGAGATTGGTATTTTTCTTTCTTTCTTTTTTTTTTTCGAAAAGATGGAAAATGAGGAGGGGAAACTTCTCCAATTTTGTAATAGTAGTATTAGGATTCGATCTTGCATAATTGAAGGAATTTATTAGATACACAATAATTAGATTATATCTTTTTGTATAAACTGTTGTTTTTTAAAATATTTTTCTTTTAAACAACAAAAAGTCGGAGGAAAACAATCTTTGAAAATGAAAGTATTATTTGTACCATTGGTGTCGATGCCATCTACCAAAGATAAAACAGTGATTTTGATAGTTTTCTCTCCATTTTTTCTACAAATCGGAGATTGAGAAATGTGGACAAACATAGAAAATCGTTTTTTTGCAATTTCCTATCCATTCTTATTCCTAAATAATGGAAACTATCTTGGAATGTGTTTGCCTAAATCAGTCTTTCTATTCTCTTAATTTTCGTTCTTCCCAAACATTATATACGAGTAAAAGATCACAAAATGATTTATTTTAAGTATGCAAGTTTATTAAGAATATTTATAAGAACAATAACAAGCAAGCTTGCCAGTCACCTACAATTCAAGTGATATTAGGATTCTCTCTTCTAAAACGTTAAGTTAAATATCTCATTTATTAAAAAAAAATTACAACAACAAATCCTCCAATTGAAACAAATTATTTTAGGCAAATTATATTATTAAGATATTTAAAATCCTTTAGTTGTTGTTTAGTAATCAAAAATAGAATTTGGTAATAAAAAATAGAGTGGTGAGCATGAGAATGAAAGTTTTATTCTCATGTTATAGCTCTGTTTGATTAAAAAGAATAAAATGAGAGAGAGAATAAAGTTGCGTGTAATTTTTATTTCCATTTAAGATGTGGGAATAAAAATAAGAAATGAAAATAATTTTTTTAAATAATAATATATTTTATTTATTTATTGTCTATTAACTACTTTTATCATTACCATCATCGCTACAACTATCACCACAAACAAGCATCATCACAAACATCACATCATCATCACCGATGCCGTCACACGCAACCATCGCAATCATCATCATCTTTATTATTTTTACAATCATTATAGTTTGATAAAAAAAATTTAATTATTATTTTTATTTATATAAAAAATTAAATATTAAAAAATTTAAATTATATTCTGATTTCTTATTAATATGAAAATATAATACAAAAATATAAATACCATGCGATGTTTTCTAGGCAGATCTTATTGGTCAGACGCATGACTGTGTTTTTGTAATATTCCTCTCATGTAATAAGTGCCTACGAGAATATGAACTTTGGTTAGATGCCCTAAGCTTGGTGGCAAATATGGCCACTCATAATGGTTTGAAGCATCCTAAACCCTACCATCAAGCCAACGTCCACCCCACTAAAACTAATAGGGTGCTTTTTGACCAGAGAAAATACCACTGAAAGTCCGTCTGAAAGGTTTCTATGGTCCACTTCCCATCACCATCAGTTTGCGAATATAGCTACAAGTAAAGCGTATGATTATTATTTATTGTACTATTTAAAATATTATTTATTTAGATTTATTTATATTATTTATCCAAATTTAAATACATTGTATTTTATTATATAATAATATTATTATAGTTTTAAAATATGTTTAAGATATTTATTATTCAAAATTTTTATGATATTATACTTTAATTTTTTTAAATATTAATTTTTTAATCTGTAAATATTTTTTTTAACTTTGCCTTAAGTTTGATGGCAAATATGGCCACCTATAATGGTTTGAAGCATCCTAAACCCTACCATCAAGCCAACGTTCACCCCACTAAAACTGATAGGGTGCTTTTTGACCGGAGAAAATACCACTGTAAGTCCGCATGAAAGGTTTCTGTTGTCCACTTCCCATCCCCATCAGTTTGCGAATATAGTTACAAGTAAAGCGCATGATTATTATTTATTGTAATATTTAAAATATATTTTATTTAAATTTATTTGTATTATTTATGCAGAATAAATTGCATTATTTATTTCATTATGTAATGATATTTTAATAATTTTTAAATATTTTTTAATATTTGTTATTAAAGTTTTTTGTCATATTATACTTTGATTTTTTTAAATATTATTTTTTTAATTCATAAATATTTTTTTTATTTTGATCCCTCTTTTTTGTTTCATTTTGATCTTTTTTCTCTGATTTTTTTAATAAAAAAATTTTAAAGCAAAAAAAATTTAAAAAATAATTTACAAAATAAGTTTTTAGCTAAAAAAATTCATTAATTTTGGCTTTTTTATACTATTATAATTTTTTTATTTTGTGGATAGAATAAATACATAATGTTTTTTTAATAAAAAATTTATAACAATAAAAAGAATAATCAGTCAAATATAAAATTTTGATAAAAAAATTACATGAATTTTTATTTAATTTTAATTTGATATATTTTGAAACATGCATAATAT